ATTTTCACCAGGCTGCCTGGTTTGTTCTTGCTTCTCAGGTTCAGGTTGCCAAACCAGCAGATCAGTGTAAAAGTTAGAACATATTCAAGGAAGGAACGAAGGAACTATATATATATTTTATAAATATATTTTATTTATTCTGTTATTTAACCATGGTTTATAAATAAAGTATTTTAAAAAGTATTAACATAGTGACATAAATGCGATTGCAACCGACCTGTACTGCAGATTAATTGAATGTTAGTGACAAAGCCCTAATCCTGACCACAGCCTGAACCACACCGCAAGATTAGGGGATATGTAATAAATATTCACCTTTTGATAGTTTCTTTTTAGTTATAATGGAGACCTAATGTATGACCCATTTTGTTAGAATCATACATTTGAAAAACCAGTGGTTAAGAATATAGCCACTGTAGAAGCATTGCAGTAGTATTAGCAGCAACCTAGTGGACATCAACCATTCCTTATTTTCACCAGCTAGAAACATTTCCAACTTGTAGCCTAATATCAGTTGCTAAGCAGGTTTAGGCCTGGTCAATTCTGGCATGGATTACCTCCTAGGAAAACAAAGGTACTACTGTTAGTGGTGCTGGTGGCTCTCCTCCTTCTGGATGAGAATTTCCAAACCAATGTCCCGGTATAGTGATTGTAATGATTGGGGAGACTATGCTGTAAAAGGATCTTTTGGTGCGATATTAAACCAAGGTCCTGTTATTAAAGATCCTTTTGCACTGCTTTTAAAGGTTGGTGTGTTACATCTAAATTCCACTTTGGAATTGTATAATCTGGCCTGCCTACATTTCTTAAATTACAGCCCTTAAATCAACTGTTGAAGCAATTTCTTCCTTCTCTGCCTGCGGCCCGTCACCCAGGTGGGTACTACATCTTAGTGGTGAATGGAGTGAAGGCCCTCCAGTGTGTAAAAACACTCCTGGATCCTTTGTGATGAAAATGAAAGTCAAATACAAATTAAAGTAACCAGCCTGTTTCATTCATTTGTAGTAATTAAAGATGTACTACTAACGAAATTAAAAAAACCTGTCAATCAGACCGACCAAGAGAATTTTGTACTTGCATTTGCACCCTGAGATACTGTACATTTGCACACATTATGACCCAGTCAAGTCCTCCCAATAACTTTGCATAGTATTATGAGCTACTGTATATATAAAACATTAAACTTCATATGAATGCTGGCATAAGTATATTGCACAGGAAGTGAATTACTGTACATAGAGCTCCGCTGTGACCCTGAATTGGATGAAGTGGTTAGAAAATGGATGGATGTAGATTTTAATATCAAAACTAAGCATTAACCATGCAATGAGAACAAAGTTTCTTCATTCTCTTAGAGAATCCTTGAAATGTAAGGATATCCTGATCTTTTTACTAACAGACCATCCAGATAATGTCCATCCAGATTTATATAAAAAAACAGGCACTGTGGTAATATGCGGGCTGCAAACGTTTTTCACGCAAACTCTTTTAGAACTTCAATTGAATGATTGAATGAATCTTCTACTTTGAAACTGACTTTCATCACATTCAAGTATCCCTAAGCACTTCACAATTAATTCCCATCAGAACCAATTACCACACACTAACGCACAGCTGTGATATGGATAAAGTAGCAGCTTTTTTTTGCCGTGACACAACATGTAACAGCCTGACCATGAGACCAGCCGACGATGAAGCAGAAGAGAGGAGAGAAGTTTTGCGTGAAGAGATAGTGTTTGTCAAAGAGTTATTCAGCACAGCAGTTAAGATGCGATGCCAATGTCACCTTTCTGCAATAGTGGTACCATGGGTTCTGGTCATATTTAGAGACAGGATTTGAGTTCGTTCAACCTGCAATTTCCATGTTGCTTTATATGTTACTTGTGTATCCATATATTAATTTGGTTTGTAATTGCAACTGGAAACATTGTTTGTCATGAGAAGGCTAAAGTGACATCCCTTGCCTGGAGTTTGAAAACTGTATTTATCCCATGACTTAGGGGGCTGGTCTTCTGATGCAGCAAGTTTGTAAATTGTTTTTGTAAATAGCTGGACTATTTGGCTCCAGCTCTTGTAATTCAAAATCTGACTGTATGTAATAAACAATTTCCTGTTTACTATGCTTGGTTTACTTTCATTGCTAACTAATTCTTCCAGCGAAAAAATAACTCATAGAGTTTTGTCAAGGGGAAAGCTGTCACATGTGGCTCAGATGCTTATAAACCAAGTGGATGACGGCAATAAAACTCTTCACTCCCTGATTGTGTGATCATATTATGGGAAACTTTCACATGCTTTTTTCTCTGGTATAGTTAATGAAAACTTATAAACTGATAGATAACATCATAATATCCCACACTACAGGATATATAACCTTTAGAAACTGAACAAAAGAATAGAATACCCCTTTGTATTTCTGTATGACTGACAGTCTTTGAAAAACTGAAAAATAAAGATGAGTCAACAAAAGCAGGCCAACTATTTCTTCCAGCTGCTGATTTAGGCAACCCTGTGGTGTTTTTTCCAAAAACAGAAATGATTAAGAAATAAAGTGAAAAGTCCTTAACAAACAGATGTCTAGTATCTGGTGTTCATTTTTAGAGATGGCCGCTAGCTTTGGTAATGAATTGCCACATGAGATGTCCAGGAAATAAACGATTTGAGCAATGAGCCTTTTGTATGCCTTGTGCTGGCCTGGACTAACACTTGGACTGAATGTTTCACATACTGGTGAACCTCAGACCTGTTTCAACATCGGGTACATTCATATGTACCTGGTACTTTGGGGGAAGGGTAGTTACCCTAATATGGTCATAAGGGGCTTTTGCATCCCAATTATAGGGATTAGTTAGCAATGATTCTGAATGCAATAAATAAAGTTTGTTTTTCACACATGCTGAAAATTTTAAATATGCCCATTATTTTGGTCAAAAAACAACGTTCAGTCAGGAAGGGGAAAAGAATGCCATAGAATAACAGACCATACCTGTGATAACTGGTGGTTAAGATCAATCAGGTTACACTCCTGATATAAGCTGATGTCCCAGTAAGAAATTTCATGGTAAAGATTAGAGGCAAGAAGATGTATGGCCTTTTGTCAGCATACTCGTTAACATCTTTCCCATAGAAGGCTCCACAGCCTAAACATTGTCTTTCCTTTCTTCTCTTTTCAGCATGGCATAAACCTTTACTTGGATTGAAGTGAAGGGACAGCAGATTTACAGATGGGGATAGTGGGATTTGTACAGGTTAATTTTCCATTCTGGATTTGTGCTGATCTCTTAAAACAGTTGAGTTTTTTTAATGTTTTGTGTTATTACCATATTCTCATTTTCCATTGCTTTCATCCTCCACATACTGAGCAATTGGAGAAGAAAGTGGTCCAACATGATAGACAGTAAGATACAGTACCTACACCAGATTCCACAAGCGGAAAATAACTTCATTCCAGTTTTTCAGCCTTATGTTAATGGGAAATATCTGTCATGCCAAGGTTGAGCAATAATTATTATAAACAAACTCCAATGACCTCCTGTGACTACAAAGTGTTGATTACACAAAGACAGCATGGAAATTTACTCCTTTCTTTTTTACCTTAAAAAGTAGCTGTAGGCTGTTCTTTTGTGCTGATGCATAGTGACAATTCATATTTTACAAACATGCTTGAAATACACGTACAGATCTATAGAAAAGGACAAGGCCCAGATTTTGGAATTTCTAAAAGACTACATATCATATCTAGTTCCTTTACTATATTGTGATTATCACCTACTCAACACAGTACTCCCGTGTCAAATACTGTAGAATACCGTACTCTCTCTCGCAAACGCTGTTACATTCCCAAATCCACTGTTTCACGATCTTATTCCAAACTAAACCCATCACACTCTCACATGCACCAGATTCGACAAATTCTCACTCCCAGACCAATTATCCAACCATATCCCTTTCCCTTCAGTATTTAAAGTTCCCTCACACACAAACCCATGCTCACTATTGAGAAGCCTCTTGTAGAATTCTCTTGTGCGTGTCTAAACCTTTTTGACTGGTTTCCCCCGGTTCCTCATCTTGGCTCCTGCCTTTTTTGACCACGCTTTTTGGATTTCGTTTTTCGGATTGTCTTTCTCGGATTTCCCTGGTTACCGGACTCAGTGCTCCTCCTGTCGACTGGATTATGATATCTTTTGAGATATTGTCCCTGTGCTACTTCACATTCTGCAGGATTCACGCATAAGGATCCTCAGATTCTACCTATCAGTTTTGTGGCAGAATAGTCAGCCTAATTAAAATGGATCCAGCTGACCAGAACAATCAATTTTCTATTCTCCAAGAACACTCCCAGACCCTGGGCCAGCTAACTGCGGCAGTCCGGCAATTAGTAGACCACGTCGCACAAGCACCGCCTCCCCAACCTTTCCCATTCTTGTCCACCCGCTTCAAGCACCTGTTAATCCTCTACCCCCTCCTCCCCAGGAAAAATTTGATGGGGACTCCTCCAAGTTTCAGAGCTTTCTGACTCAATGTTGGATGGATTTCCACATCCGCCCAGACTGCTTCCCCGTGGAGAGAGAGAGAGTTGCTTTCATGGTATCTTACCTCACTGGACAAGCTCTGGATTGGGCCGCACATCTCCTCTCTCGGAACGCTCCCGAGACTGCTAACATCCACCTTTTTCAGACGGCGCTACACTCAGTCTATGGGCAATTTCACTCTCACCACCTTATTGCCACATGTCTCACTTCCCTCACTCAAGGATCTCGCTCTCCTCAGGCCTTACAGTTACGGACAAGGATCCTCCCATTATACCAATCGGTACTGTGTCATACTGTGTATATGACACTTTGAGGTAAATAACACTTTGTTTTAGTTTGTACAGTACTCAATTAAATGGAGAAAAAAGAGCTGTCACTGTTTTTTTTTACATGTATCTGGTATATGGAACCAACCTCTTTCCTTTTCTTGTGTAGGGGGCCCCAAAGCATTGTGACCAGTGCTACAAAATGGGATTTGCCTTTAAGTGTGCTTTCTCAGACTACTTTCCATGTGGGACAATGTGGACAAGATACTATATAGGATATTAAGGAGGTAAACCAAATTACCTTGCAGAAGCCTTTTATACTGTACTTTGCTCAAGCACTTATGCAGGATATGGCATTCTATGCATGAACAGTGTCACACTGAGAATAATGTCTGTTGTCCACTTACCCTTTTCCTAATGGCTTTATCCAATATAGGATTGCAGGGGAGCCGGAGCCTATCCCAGCAAGCAGTGCGTGAAAGATGGAATACACTGCAGATGGGATGAAATTCCATTGCAGGGAATTTTTATTCAGATTTCATCACTTGGCTTAAATCGTTTGGAGTGAAATAACTCGTGTATCATGTCCATTTGCATTGTGTAGGTAAGTATTGTTCTAATTTTTTGCTTACTCATTCTATGCTATCGAGGATCAGATTTTCAAAAAAGGAGAAGAAGAAGCAAACAGATTTTATTCACTAACAGTTGAGTTTCAAAACAAACATGTGAAATCCTGCATTGCTTAATAATCACAAGTTTAACTGCAGATTGTTTGCAGTTGTTGCTCCAGTTAATGAAGCAATAGTTTCGGAAGCAAAGTTAAACCAGGAAAGACATTAACACAAATTTGTTTGAAGATCCTGAAATTAATATTCTCTATTGAAAGTATTTTAAAATGTGTTGTATATTTTATATGAGTAAAAGATAAACAAATAACTAGATTATAGTCACTTGCCTTTCAAAAGGGCTAACACATTTTGGAAAACATACTGTATTAATTCTGTAGACATACAATCTAATTGTCACAGACTATCTATCAACAGAAAATGACTAATTGCATTTAGTCTGTAAAAGCTCATGTGAACCCATGCTGTATGTGAATTCCTGATTAGCAGGTGTTTCTGGAAAAAAAAGCACTGTGATCAAACTCTAACAAGAAGACTGTGTGGTGGTATGCACTGCAAAGGTGCTTTTAACTTGCACTTCAAAATATTCCACCACTTTGAAGTCCCCAAAAATTTCAACAAGAAAGCAACAGCTTTTCTTTGATAGATGCCTTAGCTTCGAGTGATGGGATGAGTCCTACCTCATAGCAGAGGACAATGCAGGGTTTTAAAGGATAAATATTTAATTGTCTAGTTATTCAAAACAGAATATAAGTTTTGAATGACTAGAATCCGAATGTGAAATTCTGAAGATGTTGTCCGTTCAAATAAAATTCTGCTTTGTTTCGAGGTGTTCCTAAAGTGCATTGGACTGTCTTTCTCACTATCCTCATGTTGTAAAACCTGCAGTTGCTTCTAGTGGTAGAAACAGTGCTCAGAAGCTAACTGCTCTCATCTTAGTTTCTAGTTCACTTACAGTACCTTGCCTACATGAGTTATAAAGGAGTGTTATGTGTGGCTATATACATGAGTTCTATTCCTGAACCTCGAGGCTTCCTCGGTAGGAAGCAAGCTTGAGCACTAAACTTTCATCAGCTCGGCTCAACTCTGTAACCTTTGGTTAAGCAAGTGGGAGGGGTGCACGGGGTCTTCCTGCAAAAAGCTTGTCAGAGGTATGAGGTACATTTACATAAGAACATTAGAAATAAGAATAGGCCATTCGGCCTGTTTGGTAGTTATTCCTGAATCAATCCAAGGATCTCATCCAGCCTTTTTTTTTAAAGGAGCTGGGATATCAGCTTCAACAATGTGTCTGGATAGCTTTTCCCAGTCCTTTGGGTTAAAAGGTACCTCCTCTTCTCGGCACTTCCACTTCCTCTGGTTTGTGTTTCACTGTCCATTCGGAAGACGGCCACTAGGCAGACCTTGTCAATGGCTTTGGGGATTTTGATAACATGGATCAGGTCCTCAAGCCTGAAGAAAAAAAACAGATTACATTTTTTTTGTGAATAATCACTACATTTGCTTACAGTAAATGTCTGCAGCAACTTTCACCCCAAAGGATCCTGAAGAGCCTCACATATAGGAAGGGATCCCTTTTGTCTGCTGCTGAGGTACAGCATTCACCTGGGCGGAGTGTGGCAGCTGTATATGCTAGCAGCCCCACTATTGCTAGCAGGTAGAGAAGTGAGAAACTGCATCACCTATTCAATTCAGCGGGGGAATTTAGGTACATAAGCCACATACTGCAAGACCAGAGTGGAATGTAGCTAAGACTCCAGGGTGACATCCCAACCGAGGAGTGGGATCTTTATGAAAAAAAAAGTAGTCAGGACCGCAGCCCAATGTCTCATCTGAGGCACGGCGTCCTTTGTCAACATACAGGGATATTGGTTTGGAAAGAGTGCCAAGTACTGGACCACCACTACCACCTGGTTTACCTTAGAACTCATTTCCCATCTCTGAACAGGACTGACCAGGGCCAGCCTTGCCCGTGATCTTCTGAGGTGTAAAGATGTTAGGCTACACCATGGTAATGCTGCTGATCTAAGGCTGAGTTAATAAATATGTGATAAAAGTGCAGCAACTGATACATTGCCACATATGCAATTTGGAAACATCAGCACAATTTCTGTTCAGAGAGAGGACAGACTAAATTCACTTTACGTTGTGAAACAGCAACTGAAGAACATTGTTTTACTATTGTAATACTTATTGTATTTGAGACTGCTTTACATTACAGGTTATCCTACAAAAGATTTGCTCTGTACATATAGGAGGTATTAACTGTATTCAAATCTACACAATATGCATTCATAGATTTTGTTTGAATGCACTTCTACACTATTTCCTTTTGCTTTGGAAATCTCAATGCTGTCAGCACAAGGTACAGTACCTGTTCTCTGTGAGCATAAATGGAAAGTTACAAGCACAAACACTTTTTGACATCTGTGGTTTATTATAAAAGAGATAGTATGTGAGAAGATTCTGGCAGGGGAGGGCTGTAGTGCCTGTAGCAAAAGATAGAGGTGTACCATGACGGTCAGGGTCATTTCATCCATTGTACAAAATGGAGGGAGAATAAAAACAGAAGATGAATCCTCAAAGGAACAATGCCATTCCATTCCTCAATGTCATATAACACCCCCATCATGCAGGTAAAGGGTTCGGTATTCAACCTGGTAACAACTCTTAGTACTTTTCCATTCCAAAATTGAAATGACTTAAGACAGAAAGCAGAACAACAGGTTTTGAAATTGATGTAATGGCTTTCCTCTGTTGCGTGATTTGGACACTCTTGAAATCATAAGAGGGTGGGCTTATGAGGACAGTACAAATAAAATACTATAACAAACCAACAGAAATACATTCTTGGAGATAATTTGAATAGAAAGGGTAAGAAGTAGACAGTTGTACTCTGCTAGGGTTCTGTAGGCAGCTAACTATTATCGCTTAGATATTTGGTTGAGAAAACTATACATGTTCATGTTCACAATAACGTTTCATGTCCTCATTTCATACTCATGTATTACATTTAAAGAACTTTACAATATGACAATAAGAATCCATCTGTTTCAATAACAATTTTATCCTTACAGGATCATGGTGAGCCTATCCCAGCATTCACAGGGCTCAAGGCAGGACTAGCCCGGTATTGGAGTTTCGGAAGCAAATAACTAGATTATAGTCACTTGCCTTTCAAAAGGGCTAACACATTTTGGAAAACATACTGTATTAATTCTGTAGACATAAAATCTATATTGTCACAGACTATCTATCAACAGAAAATGACTAATTGCATTTAGTCTGTAAAAGCTCATGTGAACCCATACTGTATGTGAATTCCTGATTAACAGGTGTTTCTGGAAAAAAAAGCACTGTGATCAAACTCTAACAAGAAGACTGTAAGCATTCCATAAATGGAAAGTTACAAGCACAAACACTTTTTTGACATCTGTGGTATATCATAAAAGAGATAGTATGTGAGAAGATTCTGGCAGGGGAGGGCTGTAGTGCCTTTAGCAAAAGATAGAGGTGTACCATGATGGTCAGGGTTGTTTCATCGAGTGTACAAATAGGAGGGAGAATAAAAACAGACAATGAATCCACAAAGTAAGAATGCCATTCCATTCCTCAATGTCATATAACACCCCCATCATGCAGGTAAAGGGTTTGGTTTTCAACCTGGTAACAACTCTTAGTACTTTTCCATTCCAAAATCGAAATGACTTAAGACAGAAAGCAGAATAACAGGTTTTGAAATTGATGTAATGGCTTTCCTCTGTTGTGTGATTTGGACACTCTTGAAATCATAAGAGGGTGGGCTTATGAGGACAGTACAAATAAAAGACTATAACAAACCTACAGAAATACATTCTTGGAGATAATTTGAATAGAAAGGGTAAGAAGTAGACAGTTGTACTCTGCTAGGGTTCTGTAGGCAGCTAACTATTATCGCTTAGATATTTGGTTGAGAAAACTATACATGTTCATGTTCACAATAACGTTTTATGTCCCCATTTCATACTCATGTATTACATTTAAAGAACTTTACAATATGACAATAAGAATCCATCTGTTTCAATAACAATTTTATCCTTACAGGGTCATGGTGAGCTTATCCCAGCATTCACAGGGCTCAAGGCAGGACTAGCCCGGTATTGAAGGCCGTAATCTCATCTGTATAGGCCTCTATTGCAAGACTATTTTGAGAGTTTGATGAATGAAGCTGTTAATACATTTTAAAAACATCTTCAAATTTATTAAGCATTCATATTCATTACATTTTGTTTTCTCTTAGGAAGCAGGGCCTGTAAGTTTCAAGGTATATTAAATAATGACTTTAAACAATTTAAAAATGCCTTAGAGTGATTTCTGTTGAATACAAATTGTATATTCTTTTATTAGCAGATATATGGTTGTTTCAACACATCTGTGAGCAAGAGCATTCTCCTTGAGTGAAAGACCAAAGTATTATAAGTTGTGGACTGTTTAACTACAGAAGTCTTGAGATACACACTGTTAAATTTAGAATATCATGTGGAAAAATGAATGCCTCAAGAAACACCACACAGGATAAAGAGACAGACTTAAGACTCCAAAATAAACTAACTTAAATTTTGAATGATCTAAATTCAAGTTAGTCCCTCTCCGTATTATACTTACAAGTGATTATCTATGTATTTTGCTCCAGAGCAATGTTTTTAATATATTTTTCAAAAGCAATTTTAAAAGGCTACAAATCTAGCAATAAAGGAATTAGGGAAAATAAAGAGAATTTAAATGAAAATTCCAACAATGTAAGCATTTTCCTTAATTTTCACTAGATTTGATTATTTATGAAAATAGGAGGGTACATATTGTACTGCAGGAAAAACATTTGCTGTGTAAAATAGCTTTCCTGTTACTTTGCTTAATCACGTGGATGTGATGCAATGTCTACTAAAAATGGTGAATTCAGCTCTGAAGAAATGACTTTTTTAATTTAAAAAATCCAATGTGATGATGTTTTAATATGAAAATTCTCTTCTATCATTTCTGAAAAAAGCAGTTTTTGCTGTATCTGCAATGTAGAAAACAATGAGCGTAACACATTCACACAATTCTGAAAGACTGAGTGTGACTCAGATGATTTTGGAAGACTTCTAAGAGATGCTAGTTGATGTAAAGGGAAAGCTTAACTGTGATGTTCCATGGCAGCAGGTGACCTGAATGTGATCATTTTTAAAGTGCAAAACAGCCTGTTGAATGCATAGAAATATCTAAACAAAGATAAACATAAATATGTAACTAGAAGGAACATTTAATTTTAAACAAAAACCCTTAACAAGACTATGAACTCTACAGTACATGACATGATTAATGATTTTTCACCTTTTACAGCCAGAGTATCAGAGAAGTCTTGGAATGTGGTGCACTGTCAATACCACATGAACCTTTGAGGGATATGAACCATCACTGTAACGAACAGTTCTTTCCGGACCCTATACGGACGACACAATCCGAAGAAGTGGGGAAACACTGGGAAAACGTCATGCAGGAATACGGGGCTGAAAACAGGGGGGCGTGTCCAAGGTGCGCAGGTGCACGGAGAAGGTGTGGCCGAGGCAAACAATCCAAAAGAGTAATCCTTAGAGGGTATCCAAAACACAAGAGCAAATCCAAAACCAGGAGATCCATCCAAACAAAGAATTAAAACCAGAAACCGGGTCGGAACCGGCGGACGGGGGACGGGGATTAAAACCTTAACGGGACCAGGCGCTTCCAGGTCCCGGACTCGCAAGGTACGGAAACCAGATGCAGAACCCGGATGAGCGTCAGCGCCTGGCTTTTAAGGTGGGCTGGGAATAGGAATCAGGTGCACAGAATAAAGTCTAAAGTGAAGGGCTGGAGCACCCTTAAGGAGGAGGGACTATAATCGTGACAATCACGTCATTTTCAGAGGCACTAAAACTATCAACAACAAAAATATGATGTCTTTTTATTCATCTCCATGTAGGTGATGAGTACATTTATGATTGACTGAGGTAACCGATTGGTTAACAACATAGATTTGCCTTTGAAATCCTCAGTTATCAGGCCCAGTACATGTCTCTTTCAAGACACTTTGCATCCCACTAACAGCTACCTGGAACCATTTGGCAGTTGATTTCCATTCTGAGATAAGAGGGATCATGCATGATGATCTTTTTTTCTTAAATAAGAGCATGCTAATTCTTTTCACACCGGTGCAAGACCTTAGAAGGTTATCCTATACCAAACCATACTTGTGATTATACAGAGTATTTTTATTGCTTTATTTTGGTGACCTGCTTTGTCCTTGATTTTCTCAGTGCTCATAACCATTTCTCACCAAATTAGTGGTGTACTGTTAATGTTTCTCTTATGTTCTAAGGCAGGAATTAAGCTTTATTTTATTGTAATATGTCGATGTGAAATTAAACACAATGTACTGCAATTAAGGTTTGAGGGTGCTTAGTGACATTTTTTTTATGATTGTTCTGGCGCTTTTACTTAAAAGACAGGACGATAAGTGGAACTGTCTAGGTTAAAACAAACTGTGAGCCACATACCCACACACTTTTTGCACCTAGTTACAGGTGTTGGTTCCCATTGGGCAGAAAACAAAAGAATTGACTGACAAAGAGCCACCACCAAATACTGTTTAGGTATAATACAGACCATTATTATATTACTTGCCAGGATAGGCAACCAATTCATTGTGTCCACTGCGACCCTGAATTGGATTTCACAAGGAGGAACAGCAGCCGAGGATTGTGCGACAGATGAATTGTTTTTTGGATTTAGTGAAACCTTTGGTTTAATCTGCCTGGCTGAGGGCCAACCTCCTGGCTGTAGGACAGGGAGGCCAGGACTCCCATGCTTGGTAAAAAGGAGACCAAGGAGTAGCTGCAAAGGTGGAGATGGGGTTTAGGAGGGATGCAAAAACAAGCGAGGAGGAGAGGGTGACGTGTGGTATATAAGGCAACCGAGGCAATTATGCCAGGATTGACCGCGCTTAGAAAATAGATGGACGGATAAGTCACATTCTGAGTGAGACACATAGAAAAAAAACATAGAAAGAACGAAGAATTAAGGTAAATACAACATTTTAAAAAACAACGGATCACTGGAGACATTTCTTCTGACTCTATTGTAATGTGCATGCAGATTACAATGAAACTGTCACTGGCTGCATGCATCTCGATGGCTGAAAGAAATTAAATTTGGTTCATTGTCACTACTCTTTCTCCCTTTACATTGAATGAATCATACGGTGTATAAAGGCATGCTTCTTTCATCTAGCGCTATAGAATGGGAACTATTATGCAGCAAAAAAATGGAAGAACAGCTTCTACACATTGAGGTTGAAGGAAGTGTCTCCTGGATGAAACAACAACAGTTACACAGTTGGGGTGGGGGGGTGTGTGAGTCTGCTGGGGGGGCCATGACTTGTACTTATTGCTCATTAAAATTAATTACACTCAGCGGTAACTGATTCATTCCAATCTTTCATGAAGAAGATTCACATTCAACTTACACTGAAACCCTCTAGCTCTTGGGAGAAATCCATTTTTATATTTGCATTTCTAAGAGTTGATTATTCATTCTGAGGGTGTCACGATGTCATGTTGGTTAGCATTGCTGCCTCGCGGAGGTGGAGGCTTGGGTTCAATGCCAGATGTGGGGTGCTATCGGCATGGAGTTTGCATGCTCTTCCTGTGTTCGCATGGGTTTCCTCTGGCTGCTCTGGTTTCTTCGCACAGTCCAAAGACATACTGGTAGGATTGGCTTCTGGGAAAATTGGCCCAGGTGGGAGTGTGTGTGTCTGTGTGTGCTCTGTGATGGGCTGCCATCCTGACCTTGTCAGGATGTGTACTCTGCCTTGTGCCTGTTGCTCGGTTCTGTACCCCCTGTGACCCTGAATTGGACGAAGTGGTAAGAAAATGGATGGGTGTGTGGCTTATTCATTCCTTCCTGCCTTGGACCCAGGATAACTCTCTCAGATTAGTGTTTTCTCATTGAATCATTTTTTGGTTTACAGAGCTGTACTTCCTGAGGGTTTTTGGCATGCTATGCAATGATGTTTTCAAAAGACCTACATTCAAGATTTCTTAACACTTGTAATGCACTGGCTTTTGTGTGACCCCAGACTAAAACATTTCATAATTGTTTAGATGGACATGGTGTTTCTTCAGCCAGTCATATGATATTCAAGAGAGGGATGGACTCATAATATACTAGACTTTTTATGATGTTATAAATTGCCCCCCAAAAAAACAGAGAGTATCTACAGAAAACACCACTGTATTCCACGCATTTAAAAAGTAATTTCATAGAAATGTGTTTTTATGTTTGGTTCTTTAAACTGTCTGACTGGAGGGACTTTTTTGTCATGCTTTGAGAGTCAGAATTAATGGGAGTGATGTAATATCCATACAGAGATCTTTTTGTTCAGGACCGTAATGTGTGAGGTTTTTTGTTTCTTATTTTGTAGCTGACGCAAACTACTAGCAAACCTGTCCTAAGTGTCATTGTAACCCCTATTTTTCACAAATGAAAGAAGCACCAGCCCCCCTGAAGGACTTGTTTTTTTTATTTGGTGTTCACTAAATGATATGAAGATGTAGGAAGAAATGTTCCAAATATAGTCTGTTTCTATTCCAGTTTGCTGTCCTTCTATGCATTTTGTGTTGGTTTTTTGTACATTTAAAAAAACTTGGCAAGTAATCCCCCTCGATTGAAAATCTCAGGTCCTTTCCATTTTGGTGAGATCCGTTCCAGTCTGCCTACAGAGGTGTGATGACTTGGGGGCAACCAATAGTAGTTGATTTTTCAGTAACAGAAGTCTGCAAACCAGTAGACCACATTAAATGTTTTGAGTTTTGCAAATGTATGAAATGCACTCCTACTCTTTATAAAAAGTGACCTAGATATTTTAACTACTGCAGTCTCAGTTTTAGTTAAATATAGCTCTTGGTTTTCAGCAGTTTTTTCCAATGTAAATGTCATGCTGAGAAATTGCTGAAAAAAATAAAAATAAAGGAATGTAACCTGGCAAAGAAATAGACATAAAACATTATTTCTGTCTTTGTTTTCTGGTGTACTTATTTTTGTTTTGGAGGTTTCATAGAAGAAAACTAACAAGGAAGAAACTGCACTGCATTTACTGTATAAACACAGTAGGAGACAATGTGTTGAGTAGGCAAATTAACATTTTAAAGGTTCCTGTAAAAACAATAAGCCATTGGAAAATATTATCATTAAAATGAAAACAATCAGTCAAACTTGAAAATTAAGGAAATAATAGGAATAGTGTAATCAAAAATTCCAAAAGACAACACAAGTAAAGAAACAGTTCACAGAATGACTTAGTGAAAGTTGATTGGATTTTCTGTAATGAGATCACATTTCGTCAAAGTGAGTTATACCCAGTCCATAGCAGCAGGATGTGTTGCTACACAATTTAAGAGCTCCAGGCAGAACAGGTTGCAATACATTATAACACTGGTTCTTTAAACATACTTTTGTATGTGGTGCAGTATTAAATTATTTTTAAATTTGTTTTAATACTAAAAATGTTTTACTCTCATCAGCTTGTTACCTTCCGATCTCCTCTGTAAACAAACATAAATTGCAGGGTTTAACTCGGGACAAGAGGAACATCCTTTATAACTTTATACTAGAAATTGCACTGATCTTGCCTCTGGATTTGGCTGTGCTTTAAACACAATACTAAGGATAATGTTCGCCTGCTTTTTTTGTTCTTGTGTGTTTATGTATAACTGGGATATCGCACAGTTTCAATTTCAAAACAGTTCATTACATAACATTTGGTGTGGGCCAATACTAACAATAAGTTTTTTTGGTCAACAGTTTTTTAAAATGTGCCTCAATTAAGTGTTTTTTCAAATACATTCCAGGCGGAAAATAAACAAAAAATGAAACAAAATAGCATTTTTCATTGGATTGCACAGCTGATTTTGTTTGATGTGTCTGTTAAACCTCTAGGACTGCATCACTGAATACCGGCATTATGATTTCTTGAGCTTCTTTCGTCGCATCCCTTACTGGCACATACAGAGTAGGGACTGTCCCTTGCTACATAGAAATACTTTGCATAATTCATAGGTCTTAATTTGAAACTTTTTGATTTTGTCATTCTACTGGAGGAAATAATATTTCTGGGTTGTGCTACAAATCTAGAGCCTGCCTCTCCTCCAGCACACACACACACGTGCACTCACCTATTAAAGGCATATCTCTAATTTAGGGGCCTGAGCTTCAAGAATCTTGTATCTGGATGTTCAGAGGTGTGGAGAAAACAAATGTTGCCACTATGTGGAATACAAGAGCATTTGTTTGAAATATGTTTATCCAGTAATCACGGGTAAACCATATATTTTTTACGATCTGCATGAAAGCAATTTTATGGCAATTTTTTTTCCATTTGAGCAAAGGAATTCTTGTTGGATTAAACTGCTTTGTCTTCTGTGCACAGATGGAGACAGTGATGTTGA